TCCTGCTGACATGCTGCGTTCCTGTTGCTGTTCTGAGCACCTTATGCACCAGTGCCTTTAGCCCACTCAAAAGCTCTGTGAATAAGGTCTGTTATCCCTATTTATAGGCAAGGTCATTGGTCACACAGTTACTAAATTGTAAAGTTGAAATTTGAATTCGGCAGTCTGGATCTTAAGCTTTAAAGTTTTTTTTTTTTTTGGGGGGGAGAGATTTTCACTGTAGGGCGTGTGCGCTCGCCAGACAGACAGAGAGAGACATAGAGACAGAAAGCGAGAAATCATCCCCCAGGGGGGGATGGTCACGCCGCAATCCCTTCTCCTCCATTCTCCTCTCGGGATCTTGGGCACGCATGCACACGCGCCCGGCGTGAGTTTTAAGCCACCGGGTCCGGGACACGAACCGCGGTCGACTACGTGGGAGTCCAGCGACATAGCCATTACGCTAACTGCTGGTTCCCTAAAGTTTTGTTTTGATCAGAAAAAAAATCCATCACAATTAAAATTATCTGGGCCAGCAGGTGGCGTGGTGGTTAAGGCACTGTATTCCCATGTGGCCTACATGATTCAAGTCCTGGACCCAGTTGCTTGAAAATTATGCTAAGAGCGTGTGCATGCCTGCCCAAAATCATGACAGAAGAATAGAGAACGAATCACTCTTTCTTTCTCTGTCTCTCCAGTGAGCACACATAACTGTGGCAAAAACCTAAAAATAAATAAATAAATAAAATGACCCAGACTCCTATCACCCAGGTATTTTACTATTGACATTAGATAATCATTCTTCAGGTTTTTTTCTCTGTGCTTTGATCATTTATATAAACAGGATCATGAGTCTTATAACTTGCTGTTTTCTTCAAATGATACAGTGTCACTAAAAAGAGAATTCTGTGCTACTGAACAGGGCGTTTAACATTTCCTTACCTATTCTAAGCCAATATTTAAGGGCTTACCTGCTTTTGGTAAAATTTGGTACCCTGCTAAAATGACTATTGTAGTTTGTCGCATTTATCATCTAGAATAAAACTATCAATGGAAAATTTTCAGATGGTCATTTTTCTAATTCTATCATTGCTTTTCCTAAAATTTCCCCGTTAGAGGTTACAGATATCTATACTGAGATATCCATAACTTTTTAAATACTGGTATGACACAAGGCAACTTCACAAAGGTCATGGGAAAATGGAATTACAGTATGAGCTTCTTTTGGTGCAATATACTTTTTTTAAATCCATGCATAGTTTTTTTCATACGATGCATTTTCTGTGAGTTTTTGAAGGCATGACTCCATACCAATGATCTTCTTCCTTTATACTACAGGGAAGAGGGATTTTGTTTTTCCTAGCCGTTTTGGGTAGTGTTTTTAGAATGTGTAGTTGTGGCAGTGTGTGAGGACAGCTCCCTGGCTTTTGTGGTTATCTGATTCCTCCAACCCTCGAAGGCCTGATTTAGTTATCCTCAGGCCGTCCTTGTCTGTCATCCTGGCTGCAGTCTCGCATCTCTCCAGCAATGGCAGGTTTTCAGTTGTTTTGGCAGCCTATTGCTGGCTTTAATTGTGCTTGTAATGACGTTGTCTAATGTTTGAGCTAAAAATACATTCCCTGCTGTTGCTTGTGTCTCGTGCTATTTGCTCTGTCTCATTAATGACTGGAGTCCAGAGAATGTTATTATCCCTCCTTATCCTTGTAGAACTCTGTTACTGTGCTCTTAGTTTTCATAATTTGTTTGTCGCATTTATCATCTAGAATAAAACTATCAATGGAAAATTTTCAGATGGTCATTTTTCTAATTCTATCATTGCTTTTCCTAAAATTTCCCCGTTAGAGGTTACAGATATCTATACTGAGATATCCATAACTTTTTAAATACTGGTATGACACAAGGCAACTTCACAAAGGTCATGGGAAAATGGAATTACAGTATGAGCTTCTTTTGGTGCAATATACTTTTTTTAAATCCATGCATAGTTTTTTTCATACGATGCATTTTCTGTGAGTTTTTGAAGGCATGACTCCATACCAATGATCTTCTTCCTTTATACTACAGGGAAGAGGGATTTTGTTTTTCCTAGCCGTTTTGGGTAGTGTTTTTAGAATGTGTAGTTGTGGCAGTGTGTGAGGACAGCTCCCTGGCTTTTGTGGTTATCTGATTCCTCCAACCCTCGAAGGCCTGATTTAGTTATCCTCAGGCCGTCCTTGTCTGTCATCCTGGCTGCAGTCTCGCATCTCTCCAGCAATGGCAGGTTTTCAGTTGTTTTGGCAGCCTATTGCTGGCTTTAATTGTGCTTGTAATGACGTTGTCTAATGTTTGAGCTAAAAATACATTCCCTGCTGTTGC